TAGTGGAATGGACAGTCCCTGTCCCATAAAGTTTCCTGCTGCTAGTACTGTATGTACTTTTGCCATAGATGTAATTTTCTTCACAACTTTTACCAACAGATTGGCCACAGAGAGGCTAGTCACCAAGGCCAGATTTGCCCCATGAGACTCTGGTTGATGACCTCATATCTAAGCTTTTGAGTCACACAGCACTTCACATCCTTGTCTTCTGAGTAACACAAAAGCCTACATCCTCAATTGTTATCAGGTTTGTTTGTTTTTTAAACCACCTAAGAGTTCTTATTATAGAATCCTATAATATTATAGAATCCTGTAGAGTTGGAAGGGACCACATGGGTCATTTAGTCCAACCCCCGGCAATACAGGAAACTTTTGCCCAACGTCGGGCTCAAACCCACAACCCTGAAATTAAGAGTTTCATGTTCTAGCAAATGAGCTATCCCATTATTACTTCCTTTAATAGCAAACTCAGATGATGAGTGCCCATGAGGAAATTCTTCCTACAGAGTCAAGCTTCCAAGAGCTTTGAAGGGCGTTTTTGAAACTCTTCACCAAGCAATACCCACAAACTAGAAGTGTAGGGATGGAGACGTCTCCATCTTAATGGATGTTAATCTGGGACACCAACACAGCCTTGGCAATCCCTTATCTGAGCGTGTGGACCTCAACACTGTCTAACATGCCAAATAACTGAACAGCATAAATAAAATGCTGTAAGAAAAAGGGGAACACACACTGAACAGGGAGGAATATGGGGACTGTACTGTTTTATTGTAATAATGTGACAGCCAAAATAAAACTGTAGATATCAACAACTACAAAAGCACTCACGCCTTTCACTCTCCTTCAAACAGGAGGTGGATTCAGCTGCTAGCAGTTGTCTCAACTACTGAAGGAGGCACATAGTCAGTGGGAAGAACCAGCCTCTGCAACACTCACAATGAGTGGTTAGGGCTTAAAAGACCAGCATCCCTTTTCAGTTCAGTTGTTGCAGGCTCCCACTTATATGACCTGTTTTGTATCTTTGTAAACATATCAGGCCTTTTACATATTCAAATTATTAGCCTGATTCTCTTTGTTCCTGCCACCCACCCCCTCAACCCTCCTCTTGCCCCTGGTGGTGAGACAAACCTCTTTTTGCAGGTACTCTTCATACATATTAAACAGAGAAAACTCTCCGTTTCTGCGACATGAAGGACCCTTTGCTCATAATGCTTTTATAAAATGCAAAGGCATTTCAAGCATGCTCGATTTTGGGTAAATGCAAATTCCAAACATTTATGCATACTTTATTTCCATTTAGATAACATATCAACATAGCCGCAGAGCCCTCACACAGCACTACAAACGGTTAAAAGGAAAAGCCAAACAAACCACAAATCCTAAACTGAAATACCCAACTCCATTAAAACACAGATAAACAAAGGCCATAGTTCAGTGGCAGCAAACTGCATGCAAGTTCAATTCCAGACATCTCCAAGTAAAAGTGGGTGAAATGCCCTGCCTGAAATCATGCAGAGCCACTTCTAGTCATTGTATACAGTCCTGAACTAGCAGGTCCCATGAATCATCATGCCCACTACAAGGCAGCCTCCTATGTTTCTAGACTGGAAATGCAAATGTGAAGCAAATCAGCTACTGGGGCCACATGGCAAATCAGCAGATGGGAGCACAGAGCAAGCCAGGACTCAGAAATTATGATCAACTCAGAAACAGAGCACAAGCTAGGAGGTAGGTCCAAAGCAGAAGGGACATAGCTCAGAGGTACAGCAACCACCTTGCATGCAGAATGGCCCAGGTTCAATCTCTAGGTAGGGCTAAAGAGCTGCTACCTAACCATGTAGACCAGTAGTCTTAAACCTTCTCAGTCCCAGAACCTACTTTTTACCCAAACATGCATTTGTGGTCTCATTTCTTAATCGTTTACCATGTACAGTGGTACCTTGGGTTAAGAACTTAATTCGTTCTAGAGGTCTGTTCTTAACCTGAAACTGTTCTTAACCTGAGGTACTACTTTAGCTAATGGGGCCTCCTGCTGCAGCCGCGCAGCTGCCGTGCAATTTCTGTTCTCATCCTGAGATACTACTTCCAGGTCAGTGGAGTTTGTAACCTGAAGTGTTCATAACCCGAGGTGTTTGTAACCCAAGGTACCACTGTATTTGCAAGGTTGAGATCTTCTAGAGCAGTGGTTCTCAACCTGTGGGTCCCCAGATGTTGTTGGACTACAAACTCCGATCATCCCTGAGTTCTGGCCTTGCTAGTTAGGGATGATGGGAGTTGTAGTTCAAAAACATCTGGGGACCCACAGGTTGAGAAAGGCTGTTCTAGAGGGTCACAGACTAATCTGAGGTGGGTCACCATCTTCCATTGTGACCCATCTCCGATCAGCCTGTAACCTGCTAGGGGATCTCAACCCACCAGCTGAAGACTAGTAGTGTAGACAATACTAAGCTAGATGAACTTGTGGTCTGATTAGGTAAAAGGCAGTAATCACATTTGGATCTCCCAGAAGTGAAGGAGAATGGTACAGAACCTTTGTGACTTTCATTATGTGCTGAGCTTTCTACGCAATGTAAAGTAGACTGAGAACATGGGAGGTATATTTTAAGTTTAATGTAAGAGCATAAGGATGGGCAGTCTGGAGGGATGAAGAAAAGAGCGCCAGTCATTTTTTAAAAATCAGGACTCCATTTCTTTGTAGTGTGGCAGACATATTTCTTAATGACTGACTGTAGTATTTAAAATGTTGAGAGCATGCAAGAGCTGGGGGAAACCAGCATAATCTCAATCCACATCAGTACCAGACACAGAAAATAAGGTCTGCTTAGTGGACAGCTTTTGCTTACCTGGACAGAGGTAGAAATGAGCTTACTGTACTAAAGTAAATTTTACATTTGTGATTCCACCCATTTATGCTTCTGGCCCCACCCATCCCTGGCATGTGGCCCCCAGAAGGGAATGTGGCCCTTGGTCTGAAAAAGGATTCCCCATGCTTGCCTTGGTACTTTTGTTTTGTGCAAGGCATGGCAGCCAGATTTGTATTCAGAGTTTCTAATCTTAAGCTCACAGTCTTCCTGCTGCTTGGTATAATGATGGAGGAAAACACATTGGAACAGAAGGACCTACAAAACTTCTTTGGACATTTTTTTATTTTTATTTTTTATTTTTTGGCTGGGAGAAAGATACCGTTGGGTCTATCAGGTTTGAAGAGACCCTTATGCCAGCTAGCTCACTACAGGAGGCAGCAAATACAAATTGAGAAGCTTTGTCCAAAGAAGTTCAAACCCTTTCTAGGTTGGAAGAGACAAGATGTCATTCCTGTTGAAGGACATTTCACTGACCTATTTGAAACCCAGCCGAAGCTTGTCTGAGTCCCACTGTCACTTATGGCATTAATTGGCACTCTTCGTGGCATGTTCAAGTAGGTCAGTAATTTTTTGGGGGGGAGGTTAAAGCTCAAAAAGTGAATACACTCCACACATTCACTAAAATAGAATTATAGTTTTGAGTACTATCAGTCTGAGAAATTGACAAGCCATAAGACTTGTTAAGGTACTCAAAAGCCACAGAGGGTCTTTTGCTACAGAGTGAGGCAATCTCTGTGTGAGAGACAGAAAGGGAGGGAGCTGCCACAAGTGAAAGACAGAGGTGGGAACTGTTGCTAAATTATTGGCTTGTTTATTCTGTTTGAATATATTGTGCTTGCTATTACCTTGGTATTTGCTTAAACTGGAAAATACTGGGTTTTGATATTGTAGCTTTGCTTATTTACCTTATGAGGAATCATCAATTTATTGTCTAATTGGACCTGCTTATATGGTTTTGTAAGTTTTGTATACTGTACTGTTGTTTTGTTTTGCTTATTTTTATTGCTTTGTTTCCCACTCTGGGGTTGAACATATTCAGTGAAGAGCAGACTAGAAATGGTGCAGATAAATTAATAAATAGCACAAGCACTACTTTGACAAGACTTTGGCACAAGGATGGATTTTGGCCATCCGAACTCAATTGAGCTTTTCTCACATTAGACCACCTTTTAGTATAGAGTGACTACTTATGTCGAAATTGCACATGCATTGCTTTTTTTTAAAGGCCTAATTTCATGTAAAAATATGTGCAAAGTTCAAGCCCCATGGAGTACTATATTTCTTCAACATAATTTTATGAGTTATTAATACATAAGTGTTTTTATGCTGTTACCAGTGCTTTTTTCTGGGGAATGCTGGGGTATACATACCCCTAAACATTTTGTGAATCTAAGTTTGTTTGTTTTTTGTTTTTTTAATTTAATAATAATTTTTATTAATTTTCAACACAAATATACAATCTTATCCAAATTTTCACAAATTTAACTCCGTTTGGACTTCCTTCAGCTTCTCTGACAATCATCCGTATTTATTGCCATTAGTCTTCCCTCCCACTATCTGTTTCTTTTTAACAATATATCTCAACTTTCACAGTGCTTCTTGAAACCCCACTAGCATTGTTTGCACATCACATATACTTTTCAGATATTCAACAAATTTTCCCCAGTCCTCGATGAACTTTTGGTCTCGAAGATATCTGATTTTCCCAGTTAGTTTGTCCAGTTCTGCATAGTCTGTCAATTTCATTCTCCATTCTTCAATCGTCGGTATTTCCTTTTGTTTCCATTTCTGGGCCAGTAGAATTCTTGCTGCTGTAACTGCGTATTGGAAAAGTTTGCAGTCCTTTCTTCTTATTTCCTTTCCTGTAATCCCTAAAAGAAAGGCCTCTGGTTTTTTTACAAATGTGAATCTAAGTTTGGCCTCATTGAGAGGCAGTATTTAATTTAAGTAGGAAAATGAGAGTACCCCTAAACATTCTTTAGAAAAAAGCACTGGTTGTTACTGTATATGCCTTGTTGTATGTACCAGTGTGTTGGTTACATTAGGAAACCTAGGTATATAATATGCATACAATCCTGTTTGCAAATATAATAATGCTTATAATAAGGTGTATAATAATGCAATTTTTTTTTTGCAAATTTAGCAGAACCAGGGTGGGGAAGAAACATACTTCTCATCACAATTCAGGAATGAGACAGGGAGTAGGGGGAAAAATACATGCGGATGACTTCAACATAAATATTTTCATAAAATTCCATCCCTACATAGCTGTCACAGTTCTAATACCTCATACCAAATCCATGGGACAAGGCAGGTCAGAAGTTGCGGGATCACAGACAGGGTGGTGTAGTCAACTTTGTCTGACAAAAGTTAAAAGCGGAGTGAAGCGTTTAAACCTCTTTCTCCAGACCAACTCATCTAGATGCCACAGCCTGAAGATAGGTATTCCTCCTCTCTTGCTTAGTCTCCTGCCTGGACTGGTGAAGTCATCTGATACATCAGGGGAAGAAGGCCATGAAGAACCACACTCTAACCCTACAGCCTGTGTTGGTCCAGGAGGTTCTTCTGGGGGTCTTGACTGACAGACTCTGTGTGGGATTCAGGGGTCATGCTGACACTGGTGGTGCTCCCCCAACCTGAAAGGTCCTGCTGACATCTTCCCTGACGGCATATAAAATCTGTTTTATTTTTGACAAATTTATGGGCTTGTTTATCATCTGGTTCAGAGTCTCCTGAACTGGGGTTTTGTTGCAAATTTTCGACTGTGTTTTCTTGTAATCTGTTTTAAATTATGTTGATTGTGATCCCTCTTGGGCATTGCTACATGGCACCCAAAATAGCAAGCTGCAAATAATTTACATAAATTATTTTCTTACTGTATGTTCTATTTTCCTTTCTTTAAAGAAAATTGGGGGGGGGGCAGCCCAAAGTAGTTTGCAAAATAAGAAGGAAAATAACAGTCTCCAAAACTGAAAAACAGAAATTAAAAAGGCAGTCAGTACGATATATAAATAAAAGTGGGAAAGGACAAAGTAATGCAAAGCAGATAAAAGAGGCAGGGATAAAACACTTTCAGGGCAGAGAGTAGCTTTTATCCTTCTTGAAAGACAAATGCTAGAAGAAGAAGAGGAAGAAGAAAACAGTCCTTTCCCATTCCTTTTTGGAGGTTTCTTGGAGGTGGCACCTACAATGCTTCCTGAAACATGACATTATACTTGACCTGGAGGCTAATTTCAAAAACAGCACTCCTCTGTCAAGTTTTCACACCTTTCCCTTTAATGTTTAAGGACACTTGCCTATGCCATAAGGTCATCACAATATGTGCCCTGCCCACCCACAGGTTAAGAGGTAAGGATAAGATGACACAAGGAAATGTGCCTAACCACTAACTAACAAATTAAGCCGTTTATATGCCACTTAATGACAATAGTATCTAAGCAGTTTACAAAAATGCAATCAGAAATCAGTCAAAACTATAAAATCAAACTGCCTTCTGGAATTAAAACAAGAACAACTATTTAGTAGGCACTGGAAGTTCAAGAGGGAGAAGCATGCTGTCAGAAAGCTCCCTTCCAAGATTAAAAAATGAAAATTGTTCCCGTTGAAATTTCATTCAAGATTTTAAATAATTAAAATGCACAATGAAACAATCCCACTAAAACAGCATGGTAATTAAAGCAGGAGACTCAAGTCAAGGGAGCATTAGACTTGATAACAAGATGTGTTTGCTTCAACAACTGTGAGGGTCAAAATACTCCTTCCCCCTTATCCCTTTTGCAGTTCTTGTGTTAGTTTGGAGGGAGAGGGAGAAGAGCAGAAGAAACCTCTTTTTGAGTAGAAATTCCCTCCTGACTGCCCTCTTTTTAGCAGCCACCAATGGTTCACTTACTTGCTGCTTGTAACCATTGCCCTTTGTATGCTATACTTTGGGTGGCTTTCTCTCTTCATCTCTTCTTTTGCACCCTCAAGGCTGGCAAAAGGTCCCCTCAAGTTCTTTTCTCCCCTTACAGGGGGAGGGACCCCACACTTTAGCTCTGTGTGTCTTTCTTCTATATGCCCTTTTCTGTACCTTCACTATTTCTGTTACTGCTTTTTATAGAGTACGTTGACCTGAAATGAGGGCTCGTTACTGAACACGGCCTCAGTGTCTCTTTAGTTGAGGCCACAGAAGGGGGTGGGAGCATATATTTTACCAGATATTCAGTGCTTCTCTTCATACTTCTGAAGATGGCTGTCTTCTTCAAAACACTGATTGTACTACCAACACCTGTTTCAGAGTCAAGTGTCAGGCTGTTCCTGCAGTTCTTTGCTCAGAAAGTATTGTTAACAGATAACTCACTTCTTAAATATTGTTATGGGTTTGCGGGGAGCAAGGATCCATTAAAATTCCTGGGTGCCAGGTTCCCCCCATAATTTCTGAAATTAGCAAATGTGGGGTTGATCCATGGATTTGGCAAGGCCTAAAAAATACGTCATGCCAGCTTCCTCAGGAGATTGGCTGAGGCAGGTGCCATCAAAGAACAAAGACAGGTGATGGCAGAGTCATTCAGTCCCATTCAAGGTGAGACATTCATTCTCAGGTGAGAAGGGGGTGGAGTCCCTTCCCCACCTGTGTGCCAGCTTTTTGTTGTTTAGTCATTTAGTCGTGTCCGACTCTTCGTGACCCCATGGACCAGAGCTCGCCAGGCACTCCTGTCTTCCACTGCCTCCGGCAGTTTGGTCAAACTCATGTTAGTAGCTTCGAGAACACTATCCAACCATCTCGTCCTCTGTCGTCCCCTTCTCCTTGTGCCCTCCATCTTTCCCAACACCAGGGTCTTTTCCAGGGAGTCTTCTCTTCTCATGAGGTGGCCAAAGTATTGGAGCCTCAGCTTCAGGATCTGTCCTTCCAGTGAGCACTCAGGGCTAATTTACTTAAGAATGGATAGGTTTGATCTTCTTGCAGTCCATGGGACTCTCAAGAGTCTCCTCCAGCACCATAATTCAAAAGCATCCATTCTTCAGCAATCCGCCTTCTTTATGGTCCAGCTCTCACTTCCATACATCACTACTGGGAAAACCATGGCTTTAACTATACGGACCTTTGTTGGCAAGGTGATGTCTCTGCTTTTTAAGATGCTGTCTAGGTTTGCCATCGCCTTTCTCCCAAGGAGCAGGCGTCTTTTAATTTCGTGACTGCTGTCACCATCTGCAATGATCATGGAGCCCAAGAAAGTTGGGAAGCAGAGGTTGCCAGTGCCTTTTGCAGAAGATTTTTGAAACTGAGGTTGCTAGGTGAGAAGGGAGATTATGTAAATGAAAGGGGAAGTTGGCAGGGGGTTCTGGGAAGGAGGAGCAGGAATGGAGCAAAACTTCATGTATGCTGACTGGGAGAGGCTTCTTCAAGAGATTGAGGAGCATGACTGGCTTCTGCTCTTGACGCAAGCCTGCTGAAGTTATGGGAGAAGCAACAAGAGACACTCTTGAGGCCCCTGTCCTTGGTATGATGCATTTCTATCCCATCCTTCTGCGAACTACGTATAATTTCAGTGAATAGCAAAAAATATGAAATGATTCGCTAGGTGACAAGGGACATATCATTACAAAGCTTTGAACTCTGAAATAATTTTCAGGGCACATAAGACACTGCAAGAGTTATAAGCTAAATTGCCTAGGGAAATAAAATGGTATGAACCTTCCTGGGGTTTTTTTAGATCACCATCAGAGGCCCTTCTCCAGGCATGTTTTCCTTTGGAGGTGGTGACCATTGCTACAGACTAAGAACCATGGCAATCTTATCAGTTACCTGCTTTTATTTGTTTATAGAAACCAAGTCAAAGCCATTTTATTTTCATGCTTTTGATAAGAGCAGCCCTGCTGCTTTTTAAAAAATTCTGCTTCTGCTACTGTTTAGCAGGATTGCAAATATATATGCATACAGCACTTCTTTTTTACAATGCTTTCAGCAACATGATGGTGGTGAGGCATGTTATAATGGCAGGGCCCCTGTCTCCACTTCCAAAGTCAAAATAGTGTAGAGAATAACACCCAACTAGTAGGGTTGTGCAACAACCCAAAAGGTTTGCCTTCCATCAGGCATCTGTAGCATCTGAAAACAGCCAAGTTTGTTTCAGATCCACTCTGTGTTGTTCCAATCCAATTAAGATCTGATCTGCTAAATAAGAATGTAAGAATGCCCTTCTGCATCAGGCCAGTGGCTCATTTAATGCAACATCCTGTCCTCAAACTGGCCAACCATACTGCCTATGGGAAGCCAGTAAACAGAACCTGAATGCAACGGTATTTTCCACATTTGTGACCCGGCAACTGGCATTCAGTGGCATACAGAATCCATGCTTTGTTTTGCTCTCAGTGACTAAAAATGGAGCATCTAAAAATGGCAACAACTTCCCCCCCTTTACATAACTGAGTGAAATTTGCAGACAAATGAACCCCTTGAGCATGGATCAATCCTGCCAAATTTCAGGATGATAGGTAGAGCAAGTCTCCTGCCATTACAAACTCTGAGAGAATATTGAAATCATGCTCTCTCCACTGTTTTTTCCTTTTTCTTTTTTGGGGGGGGAATCAGTTTGAAAACAGGGGGCATGGGGGAGAAAACTGAAAAAGTTACCTCTGGGTAAGAAAACTGTAAAAGTTAAGATAAATAAGTTATGGGGCCTGTCATACTAGATGATTATATTTCTTTAAAAAAACTGGAGAAGTTACCATTTCCCCTCATCTCTTTGCAGTTATAAAGCCTATGATGAAGAAGAGAGAGAGGGGGAAGAGCTGTGATTGTCAATTGTTTGTTATGAAAAAGAAAGACTAGGAAAGTAGCAGGCTGCCTCTATTGTCTACCTGTGCTGCTTATGCCCTAGGCTCACAGTCAAAACCCGGGTGAAACTCATGTGAAGCATGAATCTGTCAATCACCCTTTCCCAAATCACTGTGATTGGAGTGCTCCAAGAAAATAATTCACTGTGATTAAAAGCTAGATCTGTCAAAATGAAAGAGCCCTCCCTCCCTGCTCTTCACACCTTCCTCTTGAGCACTGGGCATTTCCACAGTCAACTTGGCTTGGTTTCACAAAAAAGAAGACGGAGGGAACAACGTTGCATTTAACTTTAAGGGTGGGGGAACAAGGCAATAAAGGAACTTGGACACACTCAGACCTGCCATGACATGCCTTTTTAATGGTGTCATCCATAATATGAAAGACTGTCTTGAACCAGCCCAGTCTGCCTTGTTATTTAGGGTATACACACAAAGCTGATGCAAATGCCTACCAAATTGGGCTACATTCAGAACAGAATGTCTTATCCAGAGCATAATGTATGACATATACAATCTAGTGTGCTAGCCATTGTTTCTGAGGGCCAGGTAGAAATGGCTGGAGCAAAGCGTTTGGCCCCCAAACCTGAGGTTCGCCACCCCTAATTCAGCATTTGGCTCTTCAGGCAAAAGGATTTTCAGAAAGGCTTACATGCAATCAAGTAAAACAAGAGTGCTCTTGCCTTTAGGCTTGCAATTTAAAGGTACAACACAAAAGGGAAAGGGGGGAAAGTAAACTTAGACTCCAGTCCTTAAAGTTAAGCAGAAAGTCTCAGAATGCAAATATTTTCAGGGGCAGGAGCAGGTCTTGCAGTAAAGCTGATGGAATGAGCTCTGCTTCCCTTCTCTCCCACTGAAGTCACCCAGTTTGACAGTTACTTTCTTGGGAAAGAGAAACAAACTGAAATGTATATTCATATTCTGCTTGGGATATGAAACTATATTTTCAGCAATCCTCCCATATGCACATATTCCTCATGTTTCTGTTGTCTTTCTCACCTTCTCTCTCTGGCCCTGATAATCTATCTGCTAATGCTTCTCATTTGTCCATCTGAAATGTATCCCCTTATTATCCCCCAACTTAATTCACAAGATGCAAGTTAACAATGCAGAGATTTGGATCTCATATCTTTTATTCCTTTCTCCTGCATGTGGGAGGGTGAATTATCCTAAGTGATTTCGGTTTAGTTTAATCAAATGCAAACACAGATTAATGAGGTTCTTCAAATCAAGATCTATGTAATATATTTTCTTTAATTTAAGCTTCTGTGGCCTTATAATATCAAGTGGCAGTGATTAAATGCAGTGTAGAAGCACTTCATCATAGCACAGTCTCTAAACCCTAAACTACAAAAAAAAGTCAAGCCTAGTCTAAAGCTCACATGAGCTCCCTTCTTGCAAGCTCCCTTCTTGACTTGCAGAGAGACAAAAGGTTGACAGAGCTCTCAAAATCTAGCACAAATGTGCAGCCAGCAGCAACAAGAAATTTGTTTTTATGCGCCATTCGACTTTCTGGGTAAAACAGATTGTATGACCTGAGGGATGAAGCAGAAGGCGTAGTAGCACACTATGCAAAATTCAAAATGGAGAACAACATTGCTATCCTGTGTCCATCACATTCATAACTTTTGTTCTATGATTTTTGCTTTCCTGATTAGAGTAGCAAATTGAAGCACTGGCATGAAGAGCAGATTAGCTATAGGATTCCTGTGTAACCGCTGGTTACTGAGCCACCCCATGTTCTTCCTATAACAGGGATGGTAAAGCTGCACTTCTCTAGGTGTTATTGTACTCCAGCTCCCATCTGCCCCCACAAGCATGGTCAAGAATGAAATGAGGTGTAGATGGCCTTAGATCCAGCAGGGCTTTCCCCATGTACTGCTCCCCATTTGGGCTTACTGGCATGATAATGTCTAATCAGGTTAAATGGTGGCAGCCGTAGTTGTATACCATCTAGCCTTTCATGACACAGAAAGTGTGGAAGTAGATGTCAAAAGTAGGGTTGTCCTCTTTTTCCAGGACACGTCCTCTTTTTCATGGGTAGAGTCATCGTAGCAATCCATAGTTAAAAGTCAGCGAATGTGTCCTCTTTTTCGCTCTTCAAAATATGACAACCCTATCAATCGTAGCTTCTAGGGTGGAAGACAGAAGGTGGAATCAGAGCCAATGGCTGACAGAGCCCAATAATTCTAGTTGTTTCCCCTATCCCCTCACAGAGTTACAGTTCCTAGAGTTTCCTGGTCATTGGCTCTGATTCTGCCCACTGTTGGTCTCCCTGCCTTCCACCCTACAAGCCACCGTAACATCGACTTCCACTCTTCTAATCACCCTGCTTTTAATGTCATTTGTGCTGGTAGTTATTGCCATATCCTCTGACAGCAAAATCATATGTTGTGTGATATCATATATTTTTAATGGTCTGCCTTGACCCGACTCCCAGTCAATTTTACAGTATTTGGTGATCCTGTGTTATAAAGCAAGCCTGGTGAGCCTCAGGCTTGAAGGCCAAAAGTTGCACTTGAAGCTTCTCTTGGTACTCTTCCCTTGCCATGCAACTGCTCCCTAGGCCACACACATCCTTCACCAAAGGATCAGGTGGCTCCTGGGATACCCTGTACCCAAGCAGTTACAGAACCTTGAAGCAGGTCTAGTAATGTATGGGCAGCCAGTACAAGCTTGTGAGCACCAGAGTTACAGGCTAGTGTCCATCTGTTCCCATCAACAATTGAGTCTCAGACCAGGCCCAAGGCTAGCACCACATGGGGTGCATTGCAACCATTAAGCCTTAAGTCTGATGCATGAATCACTGTGACCAGACTATCCCAGTCCAATAATGGCTGCAGCTGGTGTACCAGCTGTAGCTGCTAAAAGGCATTGCTAGCCTAAAAGGCTACCTGAGCCTCTACTGACAAAGATGGATCTAGGAGCACCCCGAAGCTTTGAACCTGTTCCTTGAGAGGGAGTGCAACCCCATTCAGAACATGCAAGTAACTGGCCAGTCTTCTGGACACAGGAATCACCAACCCATAGTGGAATAGGCTTTGGGGATTCAGGAAGAACAGAGAGCTCCAGACAGCCCCATTGTATACGAGGGAGGGAGGTTTGCTGCAGGAAAAGGTGCCCCACATAAACTGGTGCCAATCCTGAGTCTAAGCAGCTCCTCCACCAGCAAACCTGATTGGAAATCCTATTAGGTTTAGGTTCCCATAAGCAAACAGGGCAAATTCTTCCCTTTTGGAAGAGGCTGTTCCTTGCTTTTAAGCTGTACAGCTAATGCCAGTCAGTGCAAACCAGGAGTGGGAAATCTGCGGCCCTCTGGGCATTGCTCGACTACAGCTCCCATCATCTCTGACCATTGGCCATGCTGGCTGAGGCTGATGGGAGTTGGAGTCCAGCAACATCTGGAGGGCCACAGATTCCCTTCCCTGACACAGACAGTGCTGACCTAGAAAGACCAATGGTTTAATTCAGTATAAGGCTTCCTAAGTTCTGTATTCCATTACCTTTGGGTTATTTCCATATGCCTGAGACCTAAAAGCTGCTACGTGCATCTAATGTTGGATTAAAGCACTCTGTTCACTATTCTACTCCACATTGGGTTATGGATCAGTGTGCTTCCAAGTCATTAGACACAAGCATTAAACTCTGCAACACGTTTCTGGGGAGGTGGGGGGGACTTCTCTCCTGAAGTGCTGAACCCAAATTGGATGATCTTTATTGAAGGAGATTAATGCATCGGAGGAAAGGAGATTAACTCATGCAAACAAAGAATTTCCTCTGCTCTGTCAATAAATCCCCACAGCTTATTCATAGCTGCATCTCTAAAGAGGCTCAAAGTAAGAGGAAGACATGGGCTGTCATGCTGCTTTGATACTGCACAGATGACCAGCGCCAGGGCAGGTGGCAGAGGTGCTGAAAGGAAACTGCACTCTGGGGGTTTTGTTTTTGTTTTTAATGAAGAGCAGTGCATAAACGAAATAACAAATAACTTTAAAATCCAGGTTAAAATTGCCCACTAAATCTTTCTAGAGACGAGAGATTTTTGCATGCATCAGAGAAAATGAAAAGTCACATAGGAAAGAATAGCATGATTCTGCTCAGGCTGGTAAAGCCAAGCTTGAAAGAGTGTATCCAGTTCTGATTGCCAAGGAACAAATGATGCTCTCTGCTGTCTAGGCTCAAGCCAAACTTTTCAGATTAGCCCCAGAACTAATAAATGCAATTAACTTGCATGGTTCTTGTCATGCAAACAGCAGCTACGGGAACTATGGGGATTGAGAGAGGGGGTTTAACTCTTTCCCTGCTAACGGTCGCCCCTGTGAAACTGATATTTGGATTTCAAGTGAAGTTTGCATTGCACCAATAGAAGCTTCCCTTGAAATTGAAAAAAAGGAGCTTCGGAGAGTCCATCTTTGTTGGGACCATGACAAGGCTGGTGTCCAGCAATATCTGGAGAGCTACAGTTTCCCCATCCCTGCATCTCTTTCTTAACACCAGCAAAATAAACCTTTTCTCATGTCCCAGGACTTCTGCTAATTATGGGCAGTTCTTTGGCTGTGAGCAGGCCTTTACACCTTGCGACAATCAACATGCTTCACAGGATGTGCTCTAAAATTAACTAGCTTACGTAAATTGCTCTGTGAAGATGGTGATGAGAATAATAGATTTGCCCTTTAGGAAGTTAATTTGTTTGGTATTCACCATTAGGCTTGGAAGGTGTGCAGTAATAAGACATGGGACCACTCACGGAATCATGAGAATGAGAAAAAATTATTGAATAATTACCCCCTCAGTGAACACAGCCCAATCTCTGCTCTTAATGAGGCAGGCATCCTGAAGAATAAGAAAACTATTGCGCTTAATTATATGATCAAATGCTTTCACAATACTCATGCATTAGGGGGCCAATTAAGTTTTATATGGGCAACTTTAGCTACAGTATTTTGTAACACTTGAGAGCTTGACTTTGCAACCTTAATAGCTTTCAGCATCTTATTAAGAAGATATAACTTTAAAAGATAGATGGCTGGTGCCCAATAGCTATCCATGGCATGGACTTGGTTTACTTGAGCAAAATTCACCCTGGCATACCACCTGGCCATGTTACTGTAAGGAACAAG